AGGAGGACACCTGCTCCCTGTGCGGCAAACCCGGACACCGCTACACTGTCTGCCCCAACACAGTAAAAAAATGCGCTGCCTGCGGCGTCAGACATTCCTCCGCCGATCGGACCTGCCCGAAATGGAAGGAGGAATGCAGGATAGCCAAGGCTCGACTCGACAAGAAACTGAGCTACAAAGAGGCCCTCCTTGCTGTACGCTCCCAAGACAAGAAAAACCAGCAGAAAAGGTAAACCAAGAAAAGAAAACCCAAGAAAAGAAAACTCAAGAAAAGACACCCGCCACACAGAATCAAGAACACCACTGTGAGGGCGCGTGTTTGCACAGTATCTACACCACCCTCATCTTACTTACTTCTCTTAGTCTTACTCTTACTCGGTTCTGTCACCTATTCTTTTGGTAGCATGGACATTCTTTTGGTAGCATGGTCGAGGGTCTAGGCACATGGGTATGGTAATTCTGGTATCAAGTCACTTGGACGGAAATATAGGTAAGATACCGTGGGAGAAATGAATACACCTAAAGTACTCTAAAAACAAATTTATTAATATGAAATCAAAGGGGAAAAGACATATTATTAATCATATAACAAACAGGTTCAACTCCTGGGCTTATTGCAGACTCAGTACTTTCTTCTTTACTTATTTTCTTATTTCTTTACTCAACAGTAATTACTCAGATCTTACATTCTTACTGCACACAACCTTACTGGTGTTACATTACATGGTATAATAGGACCAGTTCCTTGGCCCTACTCACAATACATAGTACATGGCACTCATTGTAGATTACTTTACTCATATACTCGTTAATACTGACACTAGCATATACAGGGGTCCACTACCCAACATGGGATAATTATTTCCAACTAATTATCCCTAACATACATGTCACAACCCTCTCTGTGGACAATACTTCCAAGGAGTAACCGAGGGTAGAACACTGGGGCTCACGACCGTTGTTGTGGTCGGTAGTAGCCAGACACATGGCGAGTCTGGGGTCTAGCCCAACGAGGCCGTGGGGCACATTAATCAGGCCGCATCGGTGCCATCGTCTCATATATGATCCCTGCTGGGTTTCTGCTGCATCCGGGGCGGTTGTTGAACAATGCAAGAATCACAATGGGATCTGGAGAAACATTGGAGCAGCGTTAGGGAACGGACTGAGAAGCATGACAACACAAACAACTCTCTTGTCTAGATGACAGACATATTTACATTATATTACTTCTTACACTGGGTGAATGACCATTCAACTGTTAAAGCATGAACACTGATGAACACTGGTATTCTCTACAATTGACTGAAGTAACTGAATGGCTACACATAAACATACCTGGAGAAACATTGGAGCAGCGTCAGGGAACGGTCTCCCTGCCTCATCTTGGGTATATATACCCCTGAGTTGCCAGTGATCGCTACTCATGCAATGACAATAATTACAAACAAACTAACTGTTACTCATTCAAAGACGACCCTCAGTTGACAAAGGTCTGGCGAATTACTTGAGTTGATTTACACAGACTAATTCAAGATTGAGCTTCCCAGGAGAAAGTGGAATAAACCACGCATTGATAACTGTCTTCACAAAGGCGGGACTATGGGAGGGGAACACAAGTGTAGCGTCTATGGGGAAAAACACGTCTTCTCAGGGGTCGCTAACTCACTCATGTTTTGCGGTCGTGGAGTTTAATAAGAATCATTAGTTAAATAGATCAGCAGTCAACGTGACCATGACACCACGCGGCCCATGGAGCTGTAGCCCACGTGGTCAACCTCACCGTCTCTGACTTCTTCCACACCTATGAGGACATAAGACACGAGGAAGACGAACAACAAGACCCAAACACGAATGAATGGACACTTCAAGAGAGGAAGAAGAGGAGGAGAGTTAGAAGAAAATCAACTTCAAGCTAAGAAGAATACCAAGACAGAAGACCAAGACATTTCCTCCAAACAAGAAAACAACACACACAATCAAGCCGACCAAGTACTGAGAAACCATGGCCCAACCCAACACGCACCTGACGCTTGACCTGACACTAGCCTGACTCTGTCCTGCCGCCTCCTAGCCGCGTCCAGGCGAGTTGCTGCTGCCTCCAACTGAAACTCCCTCACGCAAGCGGTGTTTAGCCACTGCACCTATTCTCACCTCCTAAAATTCACTTCAATCCTCCCTTTATCCTTCCCCTGAACCTCCTTCCCCCATCACTTGCATTTTATGTATGTTGTGGGGTATTCAGGATGTTTGGGTTCACACTCAGGATGGGATGGAGAAAGGAAACTCACAATGTGCTCTCTGTATACATGTTGTATTGGATGTACAATGCAGCTTGGTGCTGGGAAGGCAGCATGGTTACAAGTGTGATGTAGAGAGAGCTGGTTGGTGAGGATGCTCAGAGGAGGACCAGCTTGTGGGTCGCCATGCTCGTCGGCGGGAGCGAGGACCGCCAGGCAGGCGGAGGAGGAGGAGGTGTAGCTTGCTGGTTGGTGTAGGTAGAAGAAGAGAGAGCTGGTTGGTGAGGATGCTCAGAGGAGGACCAGCTTGTGGGTCGCCATGCTCGCAGGCGGGAGCGAGGACCGCCAGGCAGGCGGAGGAGGAGGAGGTGTTGCTGGCTGGTTGGTGTTGGTAGAAAAAGACAGGTGATGATGATGATGATGATGATAATGGAGATAAAATGGCAATGGCTTGCCATGGGAAGGGAGAGAAGAGGTAAGGTAGAAGGAAAGTTATGAAACGGGAAGTAAAGTAGTAGAAAATAAGAGCAGGTGGGCTATCCACCTAGCAGAGACGATTTGATTGGCTGTGGTGAAGGCCCCACTAAGAGGTCGCCTGAGCTCAAGGAAACGGGGGGGCGGGGAGGAGGCTAAGCTAGCTAGCAAGGGGGTGTTTGTTATTGTGTTAGTTGAAGAGGTCTGCTAGGTCCTTGTGTAACTAGTAGAAAACTCTCATCTTTTGTGTACTATTTAGTGTACAATAGTTCTGGCTCTTGAGGATTATGGAGACGGCTTTTTGGCCACCAGTTGTGTGATCTTCTGGTGTCCTCTGTATTTTGTCGATGGTATAATTCGTCTTCCATTACTTCTAGTTTGTACCATACTGCCTGTGCTTGGCTGTATGTTCTTATGTTCAGTGGTAAAATATTGTATTTTTCGTGAAGCTCTTTAATTTTGGTTGTGTATGGGGGACGTTGTTTGGAGGCTCTGCGGATGGCTTTGTTCTGTGTTGCCTGAAGTTTTAATTGGTTGGTAAGGCTGATCTTGTTTAATGGTATTGGCGGGTATTCAAGATGGGGGCGGACAAGTGCTTTAAATAGGTGTAGTTGTATTTTCTCTTCCATTTTGCCGAATCTTCTTAATTTGGTAAGCTGTATTTGGGCTAGTCTATTGCACTCTGTTATGTGTTTATTTATTCCGGTTCTTGTTATTGTTAGCCCCAGTATTTTTCCTTCGTTTGAGAATTGTATTTCTTCGTTGTTTACTGTGATTGGTGCTGGGTTTATCCTTGAAATGTGTATGATTTTTAGTTTCTGTGTATTAGTTTTTATTTTCCATTTCTTCTCGTAATTATTTATTTGTATTATGGCGCGAGCTGTTTTTAATGCCATCATCTGTTTGGCCTTGCCTGGATGGCGGATGATCTGGGTGACATCATCAGCATATGCGATGTATATGCTGATTGCCTCTTATAATGTGTGCTTCTCTATTGTCCAAGAAATTACACAGTAGAGAAGTGAAGTTGTTAGGGAGTTCTTGATTGGTTATTTTATATTTAAGTCCCAAGTGCCAGACCTTATCGAAAGCTTTTGCCACATCCCTTAAAACTATGTTGCACTGTTCTTTATTATGCATTGCGTTTGCAATGCTTTCGTATATAAGGGCTATGGCTGTGTTTGTTCCTCTGTGTTTCCGGAATCCGTGTTGTCTAGGGTTGTATTTGTATTCCAGTTCCAGGTGTGTTCTTAATCGGTGGTTAATTATTTTTTCCAAAATTTTTCCCGGTGTTTCTAAGAGAGAGATTGGTCTGTAGTTTTCTACTGCTGTGGGGGCTTTTCCCGGTTTTGGTATCAGTCTGATAATTGGTCTTGAATTTCTTTGGGTAGCAGCCTGAAGCTATGGATGCGTTGAATATATTTCTTAGTAGAAGTACCATGTTGCTTGGTAATTGCTGTAAAATGAGTTTATTTATTTTGCTGACTCCAGGAGCCTTGTTCTTAAAGCTATTGATTGTTCTTACTATTTCGTCCACCGTGATTGGTTTGTTTAGTGGGGACATGTCATCCAGTGTATTCAGGTCAATCGTGGGTCTCGGTTGCCAAATATGGGTTATTTGCGACATATGGTTGGATACTTCCCTCTCTGGCTGGTTGGTGTAGGTAAAAAAAGACAGGTCACCACGAGGTCAGGTCTTAAATAGCGGGGGTAGGCGTGGCTTAGTAGTTGACCCCCGCTCCGTGATGTATGGCGGCGCTGGTTGACCTAGACCACGAAGCATACACTGGGGAATTCGTGGGGTCGGCTATGCAGCGACAAACAGCGTTTGTAGGGGGAGAAATCCACTACAATGTATGTATGCTGTATGCTGATTGTCTGGTAGGCGCGCGGCCGGAGCTCAGTTGGGAGTTGTAGGGGAGAGGAGCCACTACACTAGTTTTCAAAATGTCCACTAGTAAATGGAAAGAGTCCTACGACAGTGGTAGAAAATATAACAAACCAGGGGACGATGACGAACTAGACGTTTTTGCATACGCCACTAGTGTTATCAAGTTCTCCACCATTATCTGCTCCACCACCATTTCAGATTAAGGTAAATCTTCACTGTAGAATATAGATATTATGTTTATGTAATTATTGGGCTCTCAATTCTAAGTGAAAATTTGGTTTTATTACGACATTTTAAGTGCATATTGTAGGGGATACTTTTATTTTGTGTGGATTGCAAAAATAGCCTTGTGCTTCCCATCCAAAAAGTTTTGGCCTAATTTTGGCCGTAAGATGGCTGTGAATCTTGTCGTACACCTGGCACCCCTGGTTATCACTGCTCCCTGAGTCACTCAGTGTTGGTGCCGGTGGTTGACAGAGCGGCTGCTAATCTCGCTGTCTCTGTTGTTCTCTCCGACACACCCCAGGTAAGCGTTAAATGTGTGAATCGTTTTCTACTTTTTTTTTTTATTACTGAGTTGGAATCAAGTTTTTATTTTTAAATACACAGTTGCCAGCAAAAGTCCTCTCACAAACTTACTGCATAGGGCTGTGGGAGAACTTTTGCTGGCAACTACATGAGTCGCTTTTAAAAATGATTGGCTCAGAAAATTGTTTGTTCTCAGTAAACATTGGCTTGCAGGTGCAGGATGTTGAATAGAAGACGTAGCTAGATATCTGAATGTCACCTTCAAAGTGAAATTTCCTGTAATTATTAAAGTAGTAGTAGTAATATCATGGTAAACTTAATTTAATCTGAGTTAATAGATCGAGTGCATGTACCTAACCTAACCTAACCCAACTCAGATTAAATTAAGTTTACCAATTTTTGGTGACTTTATGACACCAAATAATAATCGAGAAGTGATTTACAGTCCGATTTATTCATGTAGGACCATCATTTAACTTCATTGCGGCTACATTTGGGTAATTAGTCGGACCGGATGCACTGAACATATTTAAATCACTTAAGTCTCTGCTGGCGCTCCTAACTTTCTGCTAGCTCACTTAAGTCATCTGCTATAGCTGAGACCATATGCACAAAGCAATTTAAGTTCGCTAGTGACTGGGATCTTAAAGTCCACTACTGAGTACTTGAGTAGTCTTAATAGAGCAAAAACGTATTTAATAGTCAATAACGCAACCCGGACAGTTGTGTAGTGTACAATATTCTAAACATTGTCGACATATTTCAGTACATTGGCGCTTTATCAGCCCATATTTCATGATATATATATATGTGTGTGTGTGTACTGTATATATATATCTTCAGACTAAGGAGAAGTACAAAACAATGGTCAGGTATTAGATAATGACCCTACTAATCTTCAAAAAGCACCGCAGCAGTCGGTAGTCAGGTCAGAGGGTCAGGTGACCCGGCCTTCTCACTTGGTTACAAATCTTCTTAATTACGAAATTATCCAGCTTGTACATACCATTACTCAAATTCATGTTGAGTGCTTCGGTATGTTTAATGAGACTAGATTCTATAATGTTCCTACTATCAATTGAATTACAAGGTAATATTGAGGAGGCATTATCCCAGTCAATGCAATGCTTATTATCTCTCAAATGAACAAACAGAGCATTGGATTCCTGGCCTGTTGTGGGGTATGAGATTGTTTGGTTCACACTCAGGATGGGATGGAGAAAGGAAACTCACAATGTGCTCTCTATATACATGTTGTATTGGATGTACAATGCAGCTTGGTGCTGGGAAGGCAGCATGGTTACAAGCGTGATGTAGAGAGAGCTGGTTGGTGAGGACGCTCAGAGAAGGACAGCTTGTGGGTCGCCATGCTCGCCAGCGGGAGAGAGGACTGCCAGGCAGGCGGAGGTGTTGCTGGCTGGTTGGTGTAGGTAGAAAGAGAGACAGATCACCACGAGGTCAGGTCTTAAATAGCGGGGGTAGGCGTGGCTTAGCAGTTGACCCCCGCTCCGTGGTGTATGGCGGCGCTGGTTGACCTAGACCATGAGGCATACACTGGGGAATTGGTGGGGTCGGCTAGGCAGCGACAAACAGCGTTTGTAGGGGAGAATTCCACTACAATACTCCCCCTTCCCTCCAGGCTGTGTAGGAGACTTGTTGTCTGCAGGGTTGCATAGCACATGTGAGGCAGAACGGGCGGTGCATGCCTCATGTGAGACAACGGCGATGGCGTGGATGAGCCGGTCGCTGGGGACAACTGTCAAGATACACAATATCTGTGGGGGAAGAGAGGGAGAATAAGGGTGTGTGGAGGCGATGAATGCTGTGCTTCCTTCACGGCAGGTACAGAGTCGTCAGATGCGCCTGCTGGGGTGTGTGGGTCAGGAGCAGGGGCTGCGTCAGCAGAAGCGGATGAGGGCTCGTGACAGCAGCAGGGTGCAGGACATTAGCAGGGAGTACCTGGGGGAGAAAAGAGGGGTGTGTGTGTCCGCACTCAGGAACAGAGGCCGCATCAAGGGCGGCAGGGGTTACTGCTGGGCCGGGGACGGCGTCTGAGGCAGGACGGGTGTGCTGGGGTCGGTAGGACGTGGTGCTTGGGGCAGGAAGAGGAGCTGGTGTCTGCTTAGAGTAGCAGAGCTGCTCTCGGTTGTCTAACCTGCGGTGTAGAAACAGTAGTTGTAGAGCCGATGAGAGCTGCTTCTGGGTGGATAAGCCAGTCTTCCATGTTGCTTGAAGACTGGGAGCGTGATCAGTTTCTCCTCCATCCTGTGTGAGTGCGAATCTCCGGGAGTCACCATTTGTGGGGTATGAGATTGTTTGGTTCACACTCAGGATGGGATGGAGAAAGGAAACTCACAATGTGCTCTCTATATACATGTTGTATTGGATGTACAATGCAGCTTGGTGCTGGGAAGGCAGCATGGTTACAAGCGTGATGTAGAGAGAGCTGGTTGGTGAGGACGCTCAGAGAAGGACAGCTTGTGGGTCGCCATGCTCGCCAGCGGGAGAGAGGACCGCCAGGCAGGCGGAGGTGTTGCTGGCTGGTTGGTGTAGGTAGAAAGAGAGACAGATCACCACGAGGTCAGGTCTTAAATAGCGGGGGTTAGCGTGGCTTAGCAGTTGACCCCCGCTCCGTGGTGTATGGCGGCGCTGGTTGACCTAGACCATGAGGCATACACTGGGGAATTGGTGGGGTCGGCTAGGCAGCGACAAACAGCGTTTGTAGGGGAGAATTCCACTACACTGTCCTAACACTATATATAGGTTATCCACCTATTTGGAAGTTGTTCAAAACATTAAAAATTGTAAATATTCGTCCATTGGTTGTTCACAGGTTATGGTATGAGAATATATATATATATATATATATATATATATATATATATATATATATATATATATATATATATATATATATATATATATATATATATATATATATATATATATATATATATATATATATATATATATATATATATATATATATATATATATGCAAGTAAATCACTGTAGGTGTATAGTGTTAGGACAGGCCAGGAATCCAATGCTCTGTTTGTTCATTTGAGGGATAACAAGCATTGCATTGACTGGGATAATGCCTCCTCAATATTACCTTGTAATTCAATTGATAGTAGGAACATTATAGAATCTAGTCTCATTAAACATACCGAAGCACTCAACATGAATTTGAGTAATGGCATGTACAAACTGGACAATTTTGTAATTAAGAAGATTTGTAACCAGGTGAGAAGGCCGGGTCACCTGGCCATCTGACCTGACCACCAACCGTTGTGTGCTATTTAAAGATTAGTAGGGTCATTACCTAATACCTGACCGTTGTGGACCTGGTCTCACCCTCCTCTGTATATATACACCTTGTTTTGTACTTATCTGTAGTCTGTACTCACCCCTGAAGATGTGAATTCCACGAAAGCGCTTGGGAACTTCGTGTTTTCTTCTTTCCTTGTGGTTATCAGCATATATATACAGTGACCCCATCGTTAACGAACTCAATCCGTTCCAGAAGGTCGTTCGTTAACCGAAACCATTGTTTCAATGGGTTTTTGGGTAATTGGTTCCAGCTCACCGAAAATTTCCTAAATTCAAAAAAAATGGTAGAAAAGTTCGCTTACTTTGAGGTGTGTATGTAGAAGGCTCCTGGATGATGATGGGATTTAGAATGGGGGTGGAGGAGAAGGAAGAGAAGGCATTGGGGTGGAAGAGAAGTCACCCCATGGTGCCATTTCACCCATAAAATTTTAGCTATCTTGGTGTAATTCAAGATTATTTTCTTTAAATCAACACTGCACTGCATTATATATTGTCAATATGTAAAATATATTTCAAAATGACCAATAATTTGCTTGGAAACACAGAAAAAAGCATTTAGTTGAAGAGAGTCTCAAGCAAGATGTTACCTCTAGTGAAAACAGAGAGAGACTAACTCCTGTTTGCTGTGTTAAGAGGCTGGATGCCGCGCATTAAACTAGTCACTTTACCTTCAATTATGTTCAATAATTGTTAAAATGACTAAAAAATTGAATATTAAACTTTTAAAATTATTGAATAGTATAAACTTCTTGATATTTACTAAAATAGTAAGGAATTTAAGCCCTAACACCGATTAATGTATTGGCGGACTGATACTAAAGCTGGTTGCCTGGTCAGTGCAAGCGAAAACATGTTGAGGTCGGTTCGTAAGAACTTCGTTAACCGAATTTTTTTTTCGTTAAGTGAATTGAAGATCCTTATGGAAGGCAGTTCGTTAATCGAAATTACGTTAACCGAGGTATTTGTTAAACGAGGGGTCACTGCATATATATATATACACCTAGACCCCGACTTACGACTACGTGGACTTACGACCGTCGGGACTTACGACCGCCTCAGATATAGATAAAAATATTTTTTTTTTTTTAATGACACGCACTTTCTATATATATATATATATATATATATATATATATATATATATATATATATATATATATATATATATTGGGGAAGTTAGGTAGGTTTGGTTGGTTAGGTTGTGGGGTTTCGTGGTGTTTTCTCACACTCAGGATGGGTTGGAGAAAGGAAACTCACAATGCGCTCTCTGTATATTGTATTGGAAGTACAGTGCAGCTTGGTGCTGGGAAGCTGCTGCGTGGTTAGGAGCTTGCTGGTTCGGGAGCGTGGAGTAGAGAGAGCTGGTTGGTGAGGAGCTTGTTCGGAGGCGGTGTTGCGTGCTGCTGGGCTCGGTAGAAGGGAGGTCACAGCAAGGTTGAGAGCTCATATAGCGGAGGTAGGCGTGGCTTGATGGCTGACTTGCGCTTTCAGACGTCACTAGTAGCCGACCTTAGACCACGAGGCATTGGCTAGGTAACCCGAAAAGGGATCGGCTAGTCAGCGAAAAACGGCAGTTGTAGTTGTAGGGGAAATTTCCACTACAAGGTCTCCTCTTCATAACCACAAATGTTAAGGCATTTATTTTAAAAATATCAATTTTTTAAC